TTTTTAAACATTTAATCCGTTAACGTTTCATTTTAGGTCAAAAAAATCCTCGTTGGCTGAAAACTATTAGTCAACTAATGCTTAACGCTTGTAACTGACTCAGCAAGAACATGTAATAAATAAAAATATTATCTAATATTATAAAAAACTGATCAATTTAATATTTTATTTTAAGCTTACTTTTTTATAAAATTTAAATTATAAAATTTTCTTAACATGTAAATTTGTTATTTAGTAAATAAAATATTATATAATATTATCGTATAAATTTTAATTAATTTAAATTTATAAATTTTAAATTAAAAAAATAAAACAATTTAATATTTTATTTTAAGTTTAATTTTTTATTAAATTTAAATTAAATACCGTCTAATTGCAAATATGTTTTTATAATTTAGTCTTCTAATCTTTTAAATTTAATAAAACAGTAAACTTAAAATAGAATATTATTATTTTTATTTAAAATTTATTAATTTAAAATTAATTAAAATTTATACGATAATATTAGATAATATTTTATTTATTAAATAACAAATTTACATGTTAAGAAATTTTTATAATTTAAATTTTATAAAAAATAAACTTAAAATAAAATGTTAAATTGATCGACTTTTTATAATATTAGATAATATTTTATAACAATTTAATTAATTTTATGGCATTTATAATAATTTAATAAAATTTTATTTTATTTTTAAATTTTAATCATCAAATGATCACTTAACCATAGTTTAATGAATTCTAATATACTTTATTTAAAAGTGCAAATTTAAATATTATAAGTGTACAAATTAAATTATTTTTTTATGGTTAAAGGAATGATTGTTATTCCTATAAATCTTGGGTTTGAACACCAACAATTGTAATATGGATATTTAAGCGTTCATTATTAAATATTTAAGAGTATTTAGAACATTTATTACTTTATAATCACATTAGCTTAATCAAGACTCTTTAACCATTGTGATAATTTGTTGGGTTTAAAATAAATTTATTGATAAATCACACTCACAAATAAAATTATAAATATGTTGAAGATCATATCTGTTGAAAACATTTTTGATGTTTTGATATAACAAATTAAGTTAAACAAATTTTAAGATTTTACAAATGATTTTCTTAGTATATTCGATTTAATTATTCGAATATCAAAATATTACTCCAAGTATTTCAAGATCAAATTCAAACCTTACTAAATGTGTAAAATTGTGTTTTATACTTAATATATTTTTGAAACAATTTTCACAAAGTATTTTGAACCAAAATCAAGCCTAAAATCAATTTTTCAAAGTGATGCACCGATGCACCAATCGATGCACCATGAATTAAATTGAACATCGAATGCATTTTATGCATCGATGCACATACCATGCATCGATGCACTCAGTGCATTTGATGCATCGATGCACAAACCATGCATCGATGCACTCTGGCTATTTTGAAACATCGAATGCATTTTATGCATCGATGCACTCTTAGTGCACCGATGCACTAAGGGTCCAACGGTCAAAATATTTGAATTTTACACTGATGCACCGATGCACCATGGGTATGCATCGATGCATTGACGCTCCCAACTGCTTTAATTAATTATTTTCACACTTAAACGGCTCTATTGACTCCACTAACCATCCCCAACATTCAGAATCATTTGAAAGAGTATTTAAACAAGCTTAGAAGCCATTGATCAACAACAAAAAACAACAATAAAGAAGAATCAATAGAGAAACAAGAGAGAAAACGTCAAACATCAAGTTTGTGCAATTCAAGCCAAATTTCCTTTCAATATTCATTTTGCTTTCAAAGAACACTATTTGTGCTCATTTGTAATCATCTTTGAGTGTTCTTATCTTGTTCTAGAATTGCGCAAACATATTACCTTGTGAGGTTTTCCTTGTAAGTTTGCAAATTTGTAATCTTCTCTTTGAGAAAGAGTGTTCTCAAGAATTGGGGTATATTCTTGAGGGAGTTTGTAAGGATATCTCTTTAGTCTCAAAAGAAAGAACAAATTAGTGAATTTGTTGGAAAATCCTTAGTGTGGATAGCTAAGGTAGTGGAAGTAGACTTTGGTTGAGAAAGTCGAACCACTCTAAATCGCTGTGCAAATCTTTTCAATTTTCTTCAAAAGCTTCCACCAAATTTTTAATTGCCAATTCACCCCCTCTTGACCGATTCCATCGATCGATTAACTCAACAATATCCGCTGTGAATTTGGATTAATTGCTACAACATGCATGACATATCCTAGTTCATTTTGTTGTAGCCTCACGTTAGTTTCATTGATATAAGGGTGGTTTGGTCCACATAATATAAGATTATTATTGAGAATTATATTGTTGAAATGTTATATTACTTAACACATTATTAGAAATATTGTATTGTCTTGTTTGAATTTTTGTTAGAGATATATTATTACAATGTTTGATTGAAGAAATATTAGATAAAAAAATGTTTTATCAAACTATGTTAAAGATATATTTTATTTTTTAGCAACTTAAATTTTGAATATTAAAATTAAAATATTTATATTAATGTTCATAGAAAATATAGTTTTTTGTTATTTCTAATTTATTTATTTTTAATAATATATACACAAATAAATTAGTATATATTTTTTAATTTTGTATTTCTTTGAAATACAGAAACATATTTACACCAATATAATTATAATTATGTGTTTATTTTTAGATACCAAGATATTGAGAGATACATATTTACACCAATGTAAGTGTGTAAGTACGTATTAAGTGGTATATTTTCTTTTCATAGAAAATTCAGAGTCGAGAATGCAGACATGATAAATTCAATGGATGAAGTGTTCAAACTTTAATTTCTTCACTGCAGCCAACAGTATGGACGAAGCAGTATAACGTCCTCTGAAATAAATTCAATGGATCAAGTGTTCCCAGGAACTTGTTGCTTCTGCTATCTTCATGTACATATTATAAGATAATATATGCTCAGATTTTTCTTAATCTAATTGACTATGTGTACATATGATGCAGCCCAAACACGGATCCTGTAGGAGAACAAAATCCCGTCTTACCATTAAGGCGAGACCAAAATACTTGATATCATGATGAATCAAGAAAGGGTATTTTCGATCCCATGCATGAAGCTGACCGAGCATCATAGGGATTGTCATAAATAGTTTCGAAGATGTTGAAGAGTATACGAAGATAACAGAAGCTCGGTGATTCTCTGAATCACAAAGGCTTCATTTCAGGGTTGGAATATATATATATATATATATATATATATATATATGATATCTTCATTTCTCATTCTCCATCGACAACTGCAGGAGAAGAAGATAATTGCAGAGATGAAGCAAAAGAAGGTGAGTTTCCCAAACCAGCTAGAAGACTATACTTGATTGATTGAATGAATGTGCCATTATTCATCGCATTTACTTTTAAGGTCGGCCCTCGCATCAACATTGTTTATTGGCATTTTCATTGAAATTGTCAGAAGAAAACAGCTCTTCCAACGCGTATTCGAAGGACAAACCATTGTCACCATTAATATTTAGCGTCACGCATTACAAGTGGAGCCGAGGTTTCATGTTGTTTCACACGCGTCTCCTATGGAAACATCACCGGTGTTTTCCATGAAATTGTTGGAATAATAGACAGCCAAATTCAACCATGAAGGCCAAACGCAAAGTCTCGGTCGATTGACACCTAGACCCTGCCGAAAGCGGCACAACTCGTTCGATCCGTGCGTTGGACCTGCGAGTGTAGACCGCGATCGATCGACTACAAAATTATTCAATTCTCTTTCATTAACTATACACGCAGATTTGGTTTTCCAATAAATGATTCAACGTCCACTGTCGGTGGCTGGAATACTGTATCGACAGAGGAAATTAACCTTCTGTATGTAGAGAGATTAGATATATACATAAAAAAATAAAATAAAATAATTCAAAATATACATTTTTTGAGGTTTAACTATATAAAATATTTGCTATAAGTTAAACTTAGATCATGAGATATAACGCGATGATTTTTCATCTCGTCCTTTAATTATTTAATATAAGTTTAAGTATGATTCAATACTATTCATCCCCTATAAATTTCAAGTTATCGTAAACTCTAGATATTTTTTAATATTTTTTATTGGTAATGTGTTTTTACCACCTAAAATTTTATGGTTTACCAGCCTTAAAATTTTAGAAACCCATCCCCTAAAATAAAACTGTGCACCCATCCATGAATTTAATGTTAAATATGTTTATTATATTTTGTCTTTTATCATATAGTATTAAAGTTATTATATTGCACGAACCGAATAAAAGGAATTACTCCTTGAGGTAAAATTTGGATCCTCCCTTGGTTTCAAGACGCTCTTTGCGAGTTTTCTTATTGAACCCACTTTATTTTTGTTTTTATTTTTCAATTTAGAACGCCCATTCGAGTTTTCACTTTAAACGTTTTTTTAAACGACTTCAACTTAGGGCGCCCTTTTGGTTTTCACCTTAAGCGAAATATTTCTTTACTGCGTCAGAGTTTACATGATTCATGGAAGATGTGAACCATTCTGTAACATCCCAAAAACCAGATTAGTGACTAAAATGTAAGTTTTTGAAACTTTGTATCTGATTTTAAAAAAATTGAAAGTTTAGGGAAGTTAGCTATCTTGTACCTCCTTGGGGTGAGGGGAAGTAAAGTAGTAGGTTACCCCCAACGCCAGGTTGAGAGCAGCTTCCGTGGAAGACCTTCGACAATCAGAATTATGAATTGCCCACCGTGGGAGACCTTCGGCAATCAGAATTATGAATTGCCCACCGTGGGACTCAATCCCACGACCACAAGGTTAAGAGCCTTGTACTCTACCAACTGAGCTGGACGGGCAATTCAAAGAGATATTATATTATATTTATCCTAAATTAATAAAAATAAAATAATTATATTTATTTATTCATTTATAAGGATTTTACGGCAGGGTGACTATATATATGAGGGTTACAAAATAAACCTACATTGAAACATCCAGATTGAAGGAATTAGTCTTTGAAGAAAAATGAAAATGCAGAGGACAGCTTTCACCATGAGGAGCTTCAAGCTAGCAGCGGCTGCCAGGAAGAAATGCATAACATCCCGTAGAGGCAATCCGAATAAGGTAACGATGGTTAATACCGCAATTACTATAATAGTTGTAGGTAGGAACGGACATAAGATTTTATGATTCGATTCTTAGGTAATTATTTTTAGAATTGTTAGATTCTTACTATGAATCATTTATCTAGCAGAAAAAAATATCGAGAAGTATAAAATCACGTATCAAAAGGTTGAGAGTGGAGATGAAAGAGATAGATGAAGAGCAAAGAAAGATAAAAGAGGGGCAAAGGCAAGTAAAAGAGAAATCGGAAGCCATTGAAATAGAATGTGAGGAACTTCGGAAGGAGGCTCTCCTCATGACACAACAAAGTGCAAGCACCCAAATGCGCCTTGCTTTGATGTTCCAGATACTGAAAGCAAGGGAAAACCTAGAGTTCGACAAGGCAGCCATAGTCACTCGTGCTCTTCGGTACGATCCTCTTCAAGGTTCATTTTAAACATCGTATTTTGTTTCGATATTTTTTTATATAGTGTTCGTTTGTATTCATCTTTTCTTGCAGTGGATTGGTTGAGAGAGAAAATCAACGAACGAAGCTTTAAGGATCGTTTTGTGGGGTTTGACTCTAGTCCTATTCGATCATCATTCACAAATGGTCTTCCACGAAAATGAATCTTAAACATTTGAATGGGGATTGTTAATCCTTAATGAATGAAAAAGCAATGGATTGGATCATAATTTATTATGTGCGGGGCTTAATATTGCAACTTAATAAATGGGAGTAAACTTCCATATTCAAGTTAGATTTGTATTTTCTTTATAAATTCATAAAGGTGAAATTTGGGTGTTCTTATTTTATGTTTTAATCAATCTTAGATGTATACAAGATAATATTTGTTCAAAAACTTTCAACTATTTAACAATGAACATTTATATCTTTAACATATGCAAATGTTTAGGTGAGAATGTTTTGTTATCAATAATAATAAGATTATATTCTAAGATGCCTAACATAGTAAGAATGTTATTATATATATATGTGTGTGTGCGCGCGCGCGTTTGAATCCACTTACACCCAGTGTAAAATTAAGAGATTACACTTTTTTAGGACCATTGGATTGAGAAAAATCAAAGGTTGAGATTAACTCCTTATTTTTTTCATGTGAATATCTTCTCATTTTTTACTATTAATCTCAGTCTTTGATTTCTCTCATTCAATTAGGGGTGAGCAAAACTTAACTTGACTCAAAAAATTGATTTTTTTCAATTCCGAGTTATTCGAGTCAATTTGAATTTTCAATTCGGTTTTCAAATTCGAGTCGAGTTGAAATTTTGAAATTTCGAGTTACTCGAAAAATAAAAAATTTTGACTAAGTATTTTTACAGTTTTACAATTTAGTCCCTAGTTTCATTATTTCTTCAATTTCTCCTTCATTTTAAGTCCATTGTTTTACCAAATTTGAACCACATGCTCCTAAATCATCGTAGAATACATATGTACTTTCAATTTCTCATTTTGATAATAAATTTCTTATTTTTTTAATTTAGTCCTTCAATTTTTCATAATCTCCTCATTTCTTCAATTCATCCTTTATATTAAGTCTGTTTTTTTTTTACCAAATTTGAACCACATGCTCCTAAACCATCATAAAAATACATCTGTACTTTCAATTCCTCATTTTGATAATAACTTTTCTATTTTTCAATTTAACCCCTCAATTTTCATAATTTCATTATTTCTCGATTCATCCTTTATTTTAAGCCCCTTTTTTACCAAAATTGAACTACTTGCTCATATACCACAATGGAATGCTTATGTAACTTCAATTCTTATTTTTTCTTACTAAAAGTGTACTATCTCTTTTTTATTTAGTCTCTTAAATTTGCATTTACTCAAATTAATCTTTTGACTACAATTGTTTGCAAATTCTTTCTTCCAATCAATTCTTTGACTTCTTTATACTCTCATCAATATTTTACCCTCAAAATAATTTCTTTAAAATATAATATTATGATTATATTTTATAATTTTATATTGTATTTGATATATTAAATAACATTATAACGTGAAAAGAATATAATATATATATATATAGTTAGAGAAAGTCAAAAATTGGAACAAATACTTGTCAAAATATTATAAATAATTATAATAAAATTAGTATAGAAACTCGAATAACTCGACTCGTAAAAAATTCAAGTTAAGTTCGAGTTGTAAAATATGATTCGTCAACTCGAATAATTCGAAATGTTTTTACTCAACTCGATCGAATGCCCACTCCTACATGCAACGGTCCTAAAAAGATATAAAACTTTTAATTTTACACTGAATGTAAACAAATCCTCTCCCTCCCTCCCTTTCTCTCTCTCTGACACCACTAAATGCAACCCCCTCAGACCGATGTGGGTGGCCTAATCCTATCCAGGGTGTCACATTAGGGCCACCGGAGCGACCAACCGTAAAAATCTCGGAAAAATTAATTTTTTTGTTAAAACCTGTAAAATCATAAAATCAATTTATAAATACAAAAGTAATATCTATCAGTTTTCAGAAATAAAACAGATTTTCAGACTTGTATATAAAACAAATTACAACCTACATGCCCCCTAATCACATGTACCGTACTCCGCAAGCAACGCCGGTGGAACTCCCTTACTGATGTCGATAGTTACACTGGTACGATTCTTTTAACCTAAAATGGTGAGTAACAGAGTGAGCTTTGAGAAGCTCAGTAATACAAAACTACCTATTGATGCTACAAGACATGCAGAAAAATGTAGAATAATAAAATTTCCTTATTGAATCAGACATATACAGGTTTTCGGGATAAGCTGAGGTTTCACTGGTAGTTCATCGATTAAAAGCCATGAAGATCTCTGTTCATAGAAAACATTCAGAGTACAATGTTTTCAGGAGATTGGAATAGGGTGTCTAGTATGTTCCAACCAAAACCAATGAAAAGATATAGATCTTTTTAAAACAGTGACCGTTTAAAACATGATTTCAAAACCTTAGTAGAACCCTCCAACCGAACATCGTTATGCAGTTCCCCAGAACTGCATCCATAAGGGTTTACCCTAAGCACACAGTAAAGGGAGCCAACCTAAGGGAATGCCTTGGGGCCTATGGGCCAACCCAAGGGTCACATTAGGTTCGTAAGGATTTATCAGCTAGATCAGGGCTGAATTTCCATACTCCAGAATTCTACCCATATAAAATCAGTAGAAATCAGTTTTAACAGTAAACCGTAATATATGTATCGTGATCCAGTAAAATCTCGTAATGTGCCAATGAAATAAACCATATAATTTCCCTCCACTTGTACACCATATATATATAGTTCCATGATTAACCCAAGGGAGTACCTTGGGCCTGAGAGCCTACCCAAGGGTCACCTTAGGTCCGTAAGGATTTACCAGCTTGATCAGAGCTGAACCTTCAGCCTACCCATACAATGTCCCAATAAAATGGTTCAGTAAAACTAGTGAAAATAGAAAAACCATAGTTCATATACTAGTAAATTTCATGATTTCCAATAATCAAGAACGATCATATTTTTTCAGTGAAAATCGAAATCAGAAAACACATACCATATAGGCATGGTTCATAAGCTAGTAAATCAATAATTACGGTGAAACATATTTCAAAACATATAAGACAATCATGTAGTACATGGGGAACACATTAGAGGATCCAAGTATTTTTCAAGGGTACTCAGTAGTTATCAGGAATGGAAAACATGAAACTTATTAATTTGATCGGATTCCAAGATCGTGATCCTATTGAAAGGGATTAATTACTAATGGATCTAATCAGACATTCAAATTTGATACTTTAGAATCCTGCTATGATTCATGTGCATCAGGAAGGTGTTCAGGAACCTTTATACAGAATAATTCTATATTCATATTTACAGAGAGTGATTCCATTACTCAAACAATCAGGGGTATTCAGGATACTTTGCATCTGAGTTACTTATGTTTTCAGATATGACCGGAGTGATTTGAGCCGATAAGGGAGAAACGAAGATTTAGGAAATTTACACTCTGCGTCGATCTATCGAATTATCAAATTAACTCGAGCTGAACAAATCCCAAAACTAATGCATGTCGACCGGTCAATTCATTGCCCTTCCAGGGTATTCACTCTTTACCAACAATTTTTGTCCATATATCATCTTCAAAATCATCGTTGAATAGATCTTAAGGAGACGAACAAATATTCCAATGGTATTTATTTCATTTCCACATTGCAACAATATCACGAATTGTCGACGAACTTAATTCATGGTTCATAACCCACAGGACAGTACATCATGTAAGTTCATTAGCGTTTCTAGACTTATCCAAATCACTTACTTAATCCTTAGTCTTTGAGGTTACTTAGTTCATTTAGTATTCATGTCTATCCCGGTCACTTCGGAGTTTTCCCGAATAATTCGGATATTTCTGAAATTCGGATGCATATGGTACTTTCATTCAGTTCAATTTGGTCATATATCAAAGTTATTTTGGTATTCTAGGTTGATTTTAATCAATTCAGAGCTTGAGGGTATTTAGTTATTCCATGACTTAGAGATATTTTAGGTCATTTTACACTTTAGGGGCATTTTAGTCATTTTACACTTCAGGGGAATTTCTATAATTCCAATATAGATTTGAAATTTAATTCAATGATTCTAAAGTTCAATTGGATCAAAACATAAGTTCTTAGGTCGTCTCCCTTATCATAGTCATTCATTGTGTTTTTTACTCTTTAAGCACATCGTCATCATTCCACTCAATTCTGTCAGTGGCATACTTTCGATAAATTAGGCTTGAATGAATTCTAGTTCCTTTAGCGTTCATGGTATTTTATTCCTTTGATCATTGGAGCTTATTATAGTTATTACGAAGCTCGAGGATATTTCAGTAATTCCTTTAAATTCAATCATATGCAGTTTCTCTGATAATTAGTCAAGTATGTCATTTCAGAGTTATTTTTCACCATCTGGGGAAGTTTTTGGCCCTTTTCCATTATAAGGGCATTTTCATAATTTTATCACATGGTGCTCTTTTCGGTAATTTCATATCCAAATAACTCTGGTATTTAACTTTAAGAAAATTTATCAAATTTCACGGATATTAAAATCAAATCATTTATTATTGAATCACTTAACTTATTATTATTATTACCTATTGATCTTCCACTTTCTTAAGCGAGCCATATAAGTCATATTCGGTTACCGACTTTTTATAATATTCGGATTCAAGTTGGTTTCTCATTTAAGTTCAGTTTCTGACGTAAAATTGTTTGCTATATATCCAAGGAAGGACATTAAATTAAATTTCGAGGGTGATCGAATGGAGATTAAATGATCGATCGATATGGCATGAAAACCGAGGTAATACACTACTACCTGTTTCATGCTTTATGGATTGGTATTTATGTCTGCATAGATGAGTATAATTGGTCATATGTAGGTAGTAGTGAATAAATTTATTTTTTGTGTGAGGTATTTATAGTGATAAATG